TGAAACAATTTGACAGAGAACTATACCGAAATTGGATGAGACCTGAGCCCAGCTTGTTTTCGTGCTGGATCCAATTTTCGGATTGACCTAAAATAACAATGATAATTATAATCATCATCATCATCATCATCATCATCCTCATTATCACCATCATCATCATCATCAACTTTATTTAACGAGGGCTAGACAAAGCAGTAAATTTACTAAATAACCAGTGGCCCTCAGTAAATAGAACAAATTAAAAAACTAATGGTATTACATAAAAACATTAAGGACTAACTGTATAAGTAGCTATTTAAATACAACTATAATTTAAAAGTTAAAAAAAAACTATCTTACCAGTAAATTAAAACAGAGTAAAGATAAGGCCGGTTAATAAAATAATCTAAGTCTTTACAACTATTCAAAAAATGTTCTAATATGGATTTCTGGAGGCATATAAGATTCTATTTGTTTTTGATCTCGCTGGGGATTTTATTCCAGAGGCGGATAGGCGATACTGTTAAGGACCTCCCTCCCTCTGACTCCCGCTTGAATCGGGGCTAGACAAGGTTCAATTCTCCATGTCTGCTCGTTCGTTCATTAACATCTACATTTCTTATTACTGCATTTCTTATTACCACCTGAGTCATAAAGGATGGGCAATCGCCAGAAATTCGCTTATATACCAAGATTGACTTATTTATTTTCGCTTCATCATAAAAAAGGGCCCAACTTAATTGTTTAAAAAGTTGAAGGCTGTTCGCTTTCGTATCAGCAACCTGAAACTTTCCGAATATTTTCTACAGAGCAGGATGTCCACACGCCTGAGGCATGCAACATTGTCTGCTTGACCATTGCATTATAATAAAGTTTCCTTCGATCAAGAGGCAGCAAGCATTAAAGAAACATTAAAGAAGCAAACTATTCCAAAACCTTGCATCACGCAGGAAGTCGTGGAAAGTTGTAGAAAGTCGACAAAAAAGGAAAATTTAAACTTTTCTCATTCTCTGCCCAAGATTTCAACATTTAAAGGTTTTCTGCTGTATTGCAAACTTAAAATTGGAGATCTGATAAAGACAGTGTTCATCATCAATTAAAATATACTCTTTGAACAAATTACTCGAAAAAAGCGAGGAAAGGCTCACGTCGTGAATCTATCCATTTAAAAGATCCTTTCTCTGTTAGTCATAGAATTAGATATATTACCGCAATTTCAACATCTTATCCCATTACATAGCTGCAAGGACACCAGTTTCAACGACCTCGGGAGAAGGGGATCATGCCATCTTAGTATTTTCGGAAATATATTTTTTTCCCAGAAAGGAATAAATATCATATTATTTCCAAGAAATCATTTGAAAATAAAATGTCTCACTCTCAGATTTTAACTTGCTAACGTCTAAGGAAACTGGCTTACCTTTTATGGCATGTAGCACGCTTCCTCCAGAGTTTTTAATGAGAAATAAAAACCCTCTGAAAATGATGCTGTCATCGGCGGTTGTTTCTTGTGACAGTAGTCACTCTCACAATAGTCAATATCTCTCATGCTCTTAATAATTAATTTCTTGTTCCTGTTTGTTGTTGAGAATAAAAATGCACTGTTTAAGTGTAACAGCTTGAAAAAAATTGGAATCTATTAAAAAATGTTGCAAATTTTTGGAATGGTATGAGTATCTAAAGCGTAACTTGTGGATAAATAAAACACAGATAATTTTCATAGAATCTTCATCAGCCTTAAGATAAAAAGCAAAGTTAGAGGTATCCTTATATGATGAAATGAAACGCACACACTTCGTAGGAAAGAAAAATAACAAAATGGAATCACACTGTTTTGTCCCTGACAAAGCATGCATTTACTAGCGTCAAAAAGAAGTCCTGCATTCTTATTACATGGATGAAAAGAACCCCTGAACGTCCTTAATTAAATTGTGTTTTTTCTTTCATTTATATTGGAAGGTAATATTGCATACATGCTCGCGACATCATCCAAAATCAAGAACGACTATGCACATCATGACAACTTTGATTTCATGGTTTTGATAAGATAAAAATGACAAAAGTACTGTAACTTTATTATTTTTCCTTTTCTCCTTCCTTTCTAAAAATGCTACAAACTGGCTGAGAACGAAAATCAACAACTAAAAGATTTGCCACCGGCCGATTTTCGCCGTGTACTTGAAAGATTTCTTATGAGATGAGATGTCGATTTGAAAAAAATAAGAGAAATTTCATATCTAAAAGCAGCCATGTCATTTGTGTTTATCATATAAACACAAAAGCCCTTTACTGACTAGAAAAGTCGACTTTATTAATGAATGAAAATAGAAGGATCGACAGTCCTAGAATAAGAATCGTATAGTGTGTTGACGCACTCAAAATGAAAACATGCGTTGAATCACTACAAAAACAAACAATGGGCCTAATTTGCAATATACAAAATTCATAGTTATTGAATTGCTCCTCAAATCTTTAAGGTACACGGGAAAAATCGGAATGTGGCAAATCTTGTAGTTGTTGATTTTCGCTTGCGTGAAAATCGTCGCCAAGTAGCTTCGTTTCCGTATGCATTGAAACTTGAGTCCGAAATAAGTCCTTTAAAAAAATGTTTAAACGTTCAAATGGGCACCAAAAAAAGGTTAGGGAAACCCTACAATGTGGATGAATTTCAAATGTCATGGAGGAACAATAGCTTTCACCCTCTTTTGCTCTTTCCATTCACGGCGCGAAAGTTTTGATTCTGTGCCCATAAAATTAGCCAAAACCAATTGAATATATCTGGGTCTCTTTACGCAAGTTTTCTTTTTATGGTAAATCGTTCTATTTTCACTGTTTCCTGCTGCTATTTATTATGCATTATTTTACTTTTCTAAAGAATCATTAGACGATGGTGGAATACAAAGGCGCGTTGGATGTGATTAGTAAAACTTTCAAGTAAGTTGGAACTTAATATGAGAACTTGACATTTTTAGTTCGTTATAAACTAGCTTTCCATCTCTTGCTTCAAATCCATCTACATAAAAGGGAAACAATTTGACAGAGAACTGGACCGAAATTGGCGGAGAACTGGATCCAGTTTTCTGATTGACTTCCACTTAGGGCTAAGTGATCACGACCATGTTTTCATGTAATAGGTGTTTTTTTTTCTTGCCTCTTCTCACGGTGGTTTCTTTTCAAAATCTTAGGCACGTAGGGGTAAGAGAATTTTACAAAGGATTAATTCCCAGTGTCCACAAGTGAGGCAGAATATTAAGGATAAATTTGATGATACAAGTTGATTTCCTTGTTAGTTTTATGAGTCATACCGCAGTGTATAATTTGAAATCAGCCAAGAGGGCCTAGTTGGCTACCATCTTTAATATTAGGTCGCACTTTATAAAGAAAAGGAGTTTGAAAGATGGAGCACCCCTTAACGTGTTTGAACTTATTTGTACGTTCTAGTTTGCGAGAAACTGGGAAGAAGAGACAGGTGATAGATATATTAAGAGACCACAAAATTCGAAGTTAGTTTTATATAATAATTGTAATATTATTGTTTTCATTAGTTATATCTTGAAATATTGTGAAATATTTAAGACACTCATCCTTATCACAAGTTTTTGTGCTCCATAAGATGTGTTAGTGTAAGGTTGTCTGTTTTTTTTCTTTTTTTTTCTCTTTCTGTTCCTTACGTTACAATCTTTTTCAATAACTTCACTTTTACTGAATAGTTGTGATGTAAAGTTAAAACCACTTTTGATTGATTACTCTCTTTCTACTTTTCATGCATTTTTCCGAAGTTGTTATTTTTCCCTGGTTACCGATATTGAGTCCACTGAAAAACGGTGAAGGCTACTTTTTCGCGATTGCTAACAAGTAAATTTGAAGAGTCTTTTCTCGTTTTCGTGTTGGGAAACTCAGCTGAAAATAGTCCGTTTAAGGTAAATGTATTTACAAAGAGGTACACAGTCTCTGTTAAATGACGAGATAACAGACACGATGCCCTTCTATTTGTACCACTAAAGAAGCTGAGCCACAAAGTGACCCAGCTCATATCATTTTCCTTTGAAAAGACAGCCAACGATTTTTCTATATTTTGCTATGTTGTCATAAAATCGCCTTGCTTTGCCCCATTTGCTTTGTGTTCAGGTCTCTTCTTGCAAATTAGAGACAAATGAACATCAGATGATTCAAAAGACTAGGCAATTTCATAGGATTCTTTGAATAAATTTGCAGGATAAAAAAGGAAAATTTCACAGTGAGAAACTATGATTTCGATTTCAAACTCAAAAATTCTTGTGAGAAATTGTTAGTGATGTACTTAAACGGTTTACAAAGTTGTTGGATAATGTGTCCGCGCCTTTAGTTAAATAAGCTGTATAGGGACTCTTTGAAGCCATGGCTAAAAGATCTTTAACTTAGATTTAGAATCAGTCAGATAGGTAAGCGATCCATTACGAATGAATCCTGGTCGATCGGACACATTTGGCACACGGTTATAACATGCTAAACCATCGAATTTTGCTTACTGTGTGTCTGGGAATTGATTTAACGTTGCAAATTACAGAGCCACAATTATTACGTAAACTTTGTGCAGTGTCACAAGACATCAGATTTTGACTGTCATCACATTTTTTTTCTACGCCCGTAACCTAACAGAGTGCCTGCTTGTATTCCACTTACCTATGCTAAAATAACCATGATTGATAATTACAGCGATTGAAAGATGAAAAAAGCGAAAAAAAAAACAAATAAAAGGCTCGAAAACCATAATCTTGAGAGTTTGTGTCTTGCATATTTTACTTAAAGATTACTTTGAAGATACTTCGGGCAACTCTCTTCGATGACAGAGGCTATCTGATGAGAATTATCATTCTAATGAATTAAATACCTGTTTGCCACCATAGTTAAAATCTACTGTTAAGGTTTGCGATTGAGAAGAAAGATTAACTACGTCACATGTTAAAAAAAGACTTATACACATGTACCTACGGAGCGATTTATGAGTCCTCTTGCCACGCAAAGTAATATTTGCTTCACATTTAGTCCGCACCGCAGTAGCGTGAGTTACAAGGTGGCTGTTGAAGTTTGTAGATGAAGTAGGATCCACAGTTTTTTACAACAATAGTTTTTGAGTATTTGCAACCAGTAGAGCGATCATTAAAGCAGACATTCCTGTTGACATTACCATCTTCTACAGTAAGATGAATACCATCCAACCAGCCTGACCAGTCTGTGCCACATCTGTTTGCTGGCACACGAGATGTAGGCATTATTGTTCCTGCAGCTCCCACAAAACGATACCATTCCCCGGTGAGTTGGTTCTCACACAACACTGGTCCAGATACCGGTGTAACGGAACTGCTCTTTCTATTAGCATCACTCAAGTTTTGATAATCATAACATGGGTCGGCTATTAAATTAAATAAACATCACAAAAGTTTGTAGTATTAAAGATAAATGTTGATATTCGTCTTAAAGACTAATGCAGCCCTCTACACATGGAGAATAAAGAAGTTGCTGCACGAGATTTGGCGAATTTTTTTGTGCTTTTTTTCATTTGATCTCCTTCAAGGCACCGCAAAACCTCAAAGCCGTCGAGGGAAAGCTATTATATTAAAATATGTCCCTGCGGAAATATCGTGGTTTTTTACGTTCTATTTGATAAATGTTGGCCATATTTTGAAAGTGTGAGATTTTTGAAAGCGATATTTCACCGCCGCAAATGACTGAAAACAAACAAAAAAAAATTACTGTGAAACAGCACTTCTAACAAGGGACAAAATAAAACGGTGCACCAAATAGGCCTTATAAATCTAAGCTGATCTCAAAGAAACTATGCAGTTTTGGTTCCTTTTCTAAATTCTGTGGCTGTGTAAGTTTACTAATAACTTGTGCGATCCTAATAACTTCTAGTCCCAAATAATCTTTTATTTGAATTTAAATTTAGAGCATGTACAGGTGATCTGAATTCTGAAACCTCTCGGGCAAACTCTGGCGCTTTTCCACGGACGAGCTTATCGAGGCAGTCTTTATAATCTTGTTTTGTTTCTACGGTTAAGAACTACAGATATTCGAATAAAGTGTAATGAAAGAATTGTGAATATGTTTCGAAAAAGCATCTGGGACAGAGTGTTTGTCTCCGTTGAGAGACTCGAAGTTTGAAGCGTGCTCATTTAGCGTCACTCTCAGGGTCGTGTTCACGGTTCGAGATGTTATCAGACATTAATTCATGCGATGCCCTTTACACATTCATTCAAGTGCGCTGATCAATTTTGAACAAATAGATAATTGTATGTTTGGCGAGTAACCGATTGTGTTGCGTTATTATTGAGATCATTTTAGGAAAAGTTTTAAGTTATATCAGGACTTACTTTCCAACGATTACGGTCCATCTATTTGCTAATTAGAATGATGAATTAGCTTTTTGGTGGTTTGTGCCAGGTTACCTAACAAATTTAATATGGGTGGTCAAAACTCGCTTATGTCTCTAGTATTCTGATTCCCTTGCTGAAAAAACACAAACACCTTAGTAAAAATGAATTTTTGGTAAGATATTTGTTTGCAAAGATGAATGACACCTTTTTACCTAAGAGAGAGAAAAGAAAAGTGAACCATTTACACACTTCCATCAGTATGTATTTCCCCCGTTCTGTTCTTGATACATTTCAGACATGCAACTTACAAGGAGAATGTAGTTAAAAATCAAGAGCTCTTTCAAGTTTGTGATCATTTCTTTAGTTTTTTATAAGCCTAACGTTGATTCAGCAGTGAATGATAAATTGTTTGGTACTTTTCTCAATCGCAATTTCACTGTGAACTGGAATCAAGTTGGTGGCGCATGTAATTGTGCTCACCAATTCCTCACTTACATGAAATCCAGATGCATGACTTATTTTGTACTCCTTGTTCTCTACAGATGCTCTGTTAAAGTTGTGGAGACATGAAGAGTTGAGAGGTTTATACAAGGTAACCTTGATATGTAACGGTTGACAGCTTTTTGATTGATTGATCAAGTTAAAAACTGAGATTATTTTGACTGTGTGTGCTGGTCTTGTGGTGAAGTATGCAGGGTATTGGTCTCTAATAAAGTCAATCAAATCCAAGAAGTCACAAGTGGTGTGTACCGCTCCATGTGTACCTTAATACCTTGGGCTTAAGAACACAAAAAATAATGGCATAAAATGTTGTAAAATAGAGGAATTATTAAATATATATATGTATATAGTCTTTAGTTCCTAAATGTACATGAAAGATTTAACAGTGGAAGTGTAAAAGTGCTCTTATAGAGCACAATTTGAAAACTTTACACCAATGCATCGGGCCTATTTTTTTGAGTGACTCATTGTTTGGTACTCTGATTGCAGAGAACTTTAGGTATCTTACAGATGTAGGTCTTCATGATGCAATCACAATTATGTCTTTGATATTCACTTTTGAGACTTAATGTAAAACATTTTAATATTGTAGTTAGTATGTTTTGGTTGCTGCATATGTACTAAGCCAACAGTGGTTTTCAAACCTCCTTAAAAAAAGGAGGGAAACAATCAAAAAGAGAAAAAGGGAAGGTAAGCGCAAAAACAAAAGAGAAGCATAAACATCAGTCTCAGAGTCAGGAACCATACAAAGCTATTTCAGCCTTTTTTAAGACCCCGCTATCTTCGCCTAGCTTAGATTATGGTATTGTGAGTGATTAACCTGAGTTTATGTGTTTGGATGGAACGTGAAGTTTGCTCATATCATCTTATTTTACTTGACCAGGGTTACGTTCCAGGTGTTTTTGGCGTATCGCACGGAGCACTGCAATTCATGGCCTATGAGGAGCTGAAGAAAGGCTACAGTCAATATTTTGGAACACCAATCAACAAGAAGCTGGTGAATACTGTCTGCACGTGTCTGTATAGTTGATTTTATACGCGTTAAAGCTCACAAATTCAACCGAGTTAGCAAACAAGAAAGTCTTGGTCTTAAACCTCGACAAACAGAACATGTGAAGTGCTTTTACTCTGATCATGTTCATAGCTTAGGGTGGATGATTGAAGTGTTGTCATTTACTGGAACGAAACTTTACTCTCAACTCCCCTCTCCACCCAGAAGGATTGATAAGAATCAACCCTTTGCCCCCCCCCCCTCAAGAATGACTGACATCTAACTTCTCCTTACAATATCACCTCTGAATCACACATGGAGGTCATGAGAATAGAGGAAATATTCAGCCACCGTTCTTGACTGTTTAAGAAATTCTCCTTTTCAGTATCTTTGGAAATGTACAGAGAACAGTATGGAGAAGATGGATATTGATGTTAGGGTGTAAAGGGTCAACACGAACACGTGTAGTGGCCAGTGGCGAATGCAAAGGGAGAACACGAGAGAGGGAAGGGTGGGGGAAGTTTTTGGCTTCTCATCTTGAGTAGTAGTCCTCCATGACGAGCTTCAACATTTTGAAGCTACAACTGACGTCCAAAAGACAACCTCTATTACCTTTGTTGTACATGTGGCTGGTAGGAAGGTACTATAGAATGACGTTTATTATTATGTAACCGTGGGTTATCTTGGGAATCACTCTGAAGTGCTGAAAATATAGTAGTTCTTTTTTTATATAAAGTGTTTTGCTCTCTAATTTATGTTTTGCTAACTTTCATTTTCTTCATAGAGTTCAACTGAGTACCTTGTAATGGCTTCACTGTCGAAAATTTTCGCCGCAATAGCGACATATCCTTATCAAGTGGTTAGAGCAAGACTTCAGGTTAGAATGGGAGATTCATTAGCAAATTATTAACCTTTTGACATAGATTTAGATTTCGTTTTACTGTTGTATGCTATTATCTTGAAATAAACTTGTAGTTTAAGGCTGTTTTTAGTTTTCAGGTCGGTGATCTCATCGGTTGGTTTACTGGACTCCAGTTTGGTGTGGCCTGTGCTCGGGCCTCGAGCCTCAGCTAGGTCATTGTGTCGGTTCCTTGGGAAAAGATTCGTTAGCCCCACACATCCCCCTCCCAGTGGTTCAAATGGGCACCAACCTACAATGAGGATAAATACCAAATCTCACGAGGGAGAGTAGCTTTCACCTTCTTTCACTCTCTCTATTCCTCTTAAGAAACACGGATCCAAGATGGTTATGAGAACGCACGGCGCGAAAGTTTTGATCCTTTGCCCATAAAATTAGCTAAAACCAATTGAATATATCAGGAGCTGTCTCTAAGCAAGTCTGTTTTGTTAAATCGTTCAGTATTTACTGTTTCCTGCTGTCATTTATTGTTCATGAATTTTACTTTTCTAAAGAATCAGTACACGATGGTGGAATACAAAGGCGCCTTGGATGTGATTAGTAAGACTTTCAGGTAAGTTGGAAGTTGATATGAGAACTTAAAGTTTTCGCTACGTCACAGACTAGCTTTCCATCTCTAGTTTCAAACCCTCTACATTAAAGAGAGGTACATGTTTTGCCCCTTTGAAACAATTTGACGAAGAACTGGACCAAAATTGGCGGAGAACTGAAACCAGCTAGTTTGAGTACTGGATCCAATTTTCGGATTGACTTACGGCTTAATGGTAAAGTCCACATTTTCATGAAGGAAGGTATTCTTCTTTTTCTGGCCTCTTCTCACGGCAGGTTCTTTTCAAAATCTTAGGCATGAAGGAGTAACAGGATTTTATAAAGGATTAATTCCCAGTGTCCTCAGGTAATTAAGGCAGAATGTTAAAGATAAATTTGATGATGCAAGTAGATTTGCTAGTTAGTTTTATGTGTTAAACCGCAATGTATAATCTAGAATTGGCCAAGAGGGCTTAGTGGGCTCCCATCTTTAATTTTAGGTGGCGCTTTGTAAAGAAAAGGGTCTCAAGAGATGGGGTACCCCCATAAGGTGTTTAAACTTATTTGCACATTCTAGTCTGTGAGAAACTGGGGAGAAGAGACAGGCGATAGATACATTAAGAGGCTAAAAAATTCGGAGTAGGTGTCATGTCATTGTTTTCGTCAGTTACATGTGCGAATACTGTGAAATAATTAAGATACTTATCGTTATCACAAGTATTTGTGCGATAGTGTAAGTTTTAGCAGTTTTCTGTTTTTTTTTTTCAAATTCGGAAATCCAGTAAGGAAGCGGTTTAGAAGAAACCCTGAAACTGTAATCTATGTAAACACGTTCGTTGTTGATTATATTGTGTATTGTGTGTTTGATTGTTGTTGTTTTTGTTTCTTTTTAGAGTAACGCCAGCATGTGCACTCACATTTGTGGTGTACGAAAACGTTATTCACTTCCTTCTGCCGAACAGATGACGTCGACAGGATAAATAATGCAATCCAGCAACGGGAGACGATGGGTAATATTACGGCACGTGGTTTTATTACCAGGCTTCATTCTGCAACAATTCCGACGGATTCATTTACGGAAAAAAAATATATTAACCGTGCGAAGTTAACCGCCCAGTGCGTTTACACATTTTATCGGTAACTTCATTTACTAGCGGCATGTGAATATGAATTTTTTTCAGAGCAATTTATTTACAACAACGCAAAAGGTATCCATGACTATTCTCAGGTCCTAAGGATAACAATGATTTCTCCCATTGTTCTTTTATAAAGAACGCCCCCCCCCTCCCCACCTTGTCCCTTACGGGTATCAAATTTATGTACATCCCCTTAGTACTAACAAAGGCATGAAGTACAAGAGATGCCTTTTGCAAGTTTTTTTTAAAATTACTATTAACTTCATAATTATTCAAACATTACTTGTGAAAACTACTTGCAATTAATGAAGAAAAATGTTCAATATTAAGTTAAAAATTATCTTATTTTTCTTTTCTGTTACTTACGTTAAAATCTTTTTCAATAAATTTCTCCATTTGTTACTGAATCGTTGCGATGTAAAGTTAAACCCAGTTTTGATTTATGGCTCTGTTTTTACTTCACTGGGTTCTGGTTTCATGCATTTGCTCGAACATTTCCTTGTTGTTGTTGTTATTTTTCCCTGGTTATTGACATTAACTCCACTAAAAAATGGTGTAAGCTACTCTTTCGCGATGCTATCAAGTGAATTTGAAAAGTCTTTCACATAACCTTTCATTAGATGAATGGTATCGAGAACCTACTCTGACCCATAGACTACACTGCCCTTAACATTTATTGTCGTGTTCGTGTCATGAAATTCAGCTGAAAATAATCCGTGTAAGATAAATGTATTTACAAAGTGATACACAGTTTTTGTTAAATTATGAGGTAATATACACGATGCCCTTATACTTACACCACTCAAGAAGCTGAGCCACAAAGTGACCCAGCTCATGTCACTTTGCTTTGAAAAGTCCACCGACGATTTTTCTATGTTTTGATACGTTGTCAATTAACTCGCCCAGCTCTGCTCCATTTGCTTTGCGTTCAGGTCTCTTCTTGTAAAGTAGAGACAAATGAACATTAAATGATTGGAAGACTAGTCTCGGCTAGAATATTGAAATATCAGGCAGTAGCCTTTGTGGGTTGTGGTGGGGGTGGGTTTCTTTTCTGCGCATATTATTTTTCATAGGATTCTTTGAATATGTTTGCATTATAAAAAAGGAAAACTTGTGTTTACCTTTGCTACTCTAAATACTTGTTTTTAACACATCGCAGTTCTGAATACCTTTCTTTTAGCGTGTTAATGTTGTAGGCAAACATTAACCGTAGTAAAACAGGTCAACTTTTAAAAGCTACAAGCAGCTTTTAATCTTAATAATACATATGCAAGTTGCACTCGCCTTACAGGTTCATGCAATTTTGGTTAGTCGATGAAATTTTCTCGTTCTGTTTTATCTCAAATTGCACTGGAAACGCGTGATTACCTATATAAAATTATTTTAACAAATTTCGTCTTGAATGAATGAAGTGCCCGTGCTCTTAGTTAAGAAAGCTGTATAGGGACACTTTGAAGCCATTGCGTAAAGATCTCTAACTTTGATTCAAAATAAGCGTGAGATGTAAGCGATCCATTAATTTCAAATGAATTTTGGTCGATTCGGACACATTTAACACACGGTTATGCAAGCTAAACCATTGAATTTTGCTTACTGTGTCTGGAAATTGGTTTAACGTTTCAAAATACTGAGTCACTATTGTTACTTTAACTTTATATAACATCAGAGGACATCAGATTTTGACTGTCATCACTCGAAAACCATAAGCTTGAGAGTTTGTGTCTTATAGATTTTACTTAAAGATTACTTTAAAGATCCTTCGGGCAATTCTCTCTTCAATGACAAAGGCTATCCGATGAGAATTATCATTCTAATGAATTGAATACCTGTTTGCCACCAAAGTCAAAATCTGCTGATAATGTCTATGATAGAGAAGAAAGGTTGAATACGTCACATGACAAAACCTCGTACACATGTACTTACGGAGCGATTTGTGAGTCCTCTTACTGCGCGAAATATATTGGCTTAACATTCAGTCAGTACTACAGTAGCGTGAGTTACAATTAGGTGGCTTTTTAAGTCGGTAGATAAAGTAAGATCCACAGTTTTTTACAGAAATAGTTCCTGTGTATCGGCAACCAGTAGAGCGATCACTAAAGCAGACCGTCATTCGAACTTCACCTTCTTCCACTGTAGGATGATCAGCATCCAACCAGCCAGACCACTGTGTACCACATCTGTATGCTGGCACACGCGTTGTTGGCATTTTTGTTCCTGCAGCTCCCACAAAACGATACCATTCCTCAACAAGGTGGTCGTCACACACCTCTTGTTTCTGGGGTGTTGGGTAACTGCTCTTTCTACTGGCATCATTCAGGTTTTGATGATAATAACATGGGTCGGCTACTAAATGAAATAAACATTACAAAAAAAGGTTGTAGTAACAAAGATAACCTTCTAAACCAGAAGGCTCTGAAACAACTGGCTTGTTCCTGATACCCCCCCCCCCCCCAAAAAAAAAATTCCGCGGGAAGTAAGTTGCCACAAAACGCTGGACCAAATTTTGGTGTAGCTTAACTGCTCTTTCTATTAGCGTCACTCAGGTTTTGAAGAATTCGGGTTAGAAGAATTTGGGTTAGCCAATGATGATGCACAAAGGAACTAAAATGAAATGATAGCATCATAAGGAATTACGTTTCCTCTTGCTTTAATCGCCCATCAAAGCCCGAGTTGTTTGTACCTCAACTGGATGCTGCAAAATGCGTTTAAGACATTTTTTCATCCCAGTATTGATCCTCAGCTCCCACACAACGATGCCAGCCCAGAAGTATTCGCTTGTACCCAATTATTTTCTAGGAGAGTGTAATAACTCTCTGCTTACTAGCATCATCCAATTATTTGTAATCATAACGCGAATTGGCTTGCATAAGTCAAATAAGTTTGATTGATCATAACTGCTCTTATTATAAGAGAATCTTGGAAGGTTAGAGATTATTAAAGAGTTTTTAAGTGCCACGGAGAGCATCGTGTCTGCATCATGTTAAAGTTTGTGTAAGGTTTTGAAATCATTTAAAACATAATCAGTTGGTAATTTAGTGTTAACAACTGAGTTGAAAACGTAGATTAGCTTTTTTACTCTTTACGGTGGCCAATTTACGCTTTCAACTTGGTTGGTAACACTGAATTACCTGCTATACTCTCCCACCGACGCAACACTACAGTTTCTTTAGAAACTTACCCCCTATAATCAAAAGTTGATTCGTTCTTGTGCTCAAGGGAGCGTAAAGTATGCCTCCTCGATGTGAATGTCGGATGAAAGTAAACTCTAAGAAATTTACTGCTACATTCAACGTGGGAACCAAACAAAAATTTCATCACCTCCAAAAACCAAACTAGCCTTGACAATCAAAACCATCTCCAATAAGCGTGGGATTGCAAGAGAAATTGTACAAGCCCTGGGTACTAGTGCAAGGTGCATTCGGATGGCATTTATTCATTTTAAAGGGATGGGCCTCACTACATTCGTCAATGTACAATACACAGTAAAAAATTGTTGATAATACTTAATTACCCTATTATACTCTCCCACCGACGCAGCACCACAGCTTCTTTAGAACCTTACCCCCTTTATTCATCGCTCTTTCTATCAGTTTACTGTCCAGATAACCCACACGGGATGTTGTGAGGACATGACATAAGTTTGTAATTACGAGCTGGAGGCGATAAATTTCCTTTTTTTTTTTTTTTTCGAATGGTTTCCCAACATCTGGAGACGTTTACTACGCTGGTAATCCGATAGAAAGTGCTGTTTGTTACTTTAGTAATTTAAACTTTAGTTTTCCATGGGTTTATCGGTGCAATCAACGGTTGTTTTTTGGCCAGTCAGGGCGCCCGTAGTATCTTGATTATTTTATAAAACTTGATGATAATAATTTTCAACTTTTTTCTCTCAAATATATCTTAAGCGTCAGCGAAAACGTAGCACCATCGAAATCACTCACATATCTATCCTGTGCACAAGGTTCAGAGCCAAGCGAGCGATTCTATTTTCATGCTTCTGTCAATCATTGTGATAAGGTTAATTTTTAGCGGAGAAAAACAATACATAAGTCACCAAGATTGTTCATTTAAAAATCAGGGACGTTACCTAGAAGGTTCTTAACATGAGGAACGGCTGCCTAAATCATAACGAGTTACATATGAGTAATAAATTATCTAATTGTCTTGCAACACGGCTGACTGGTGCGGCGCTGTAGTCATGCAGGACTATTCTAAATATTGTAACGAAGACATTAAATTCACCTTTGCAGTTTTGTCCATTTCCAGTATATCCAGGCTGACATTCACATGTATGTGATCCAAGGGTGTTATTGCACTTCGCATTCACGTGACAGGAGTGATTTCCTTTACACTCGTCAATATCTGAGAAACCGTAAATGAATTTTGCACTTAAAAAGCTTTCACTTTTTCGTCTTTAACGAACTAGATTTTTGAAACGTGCAACCTAGATATTATATTTTCTTCTCCAATGTTATTTTTTAGTCTCCTAACATGATGGCTCTGAAACAAACCGGATGTAGATCATGGCAACTCCGTGCATAAACATGTATGGGTAATGCTGCTTAAAAAAAACAAAACTTAGCACTTGTAGGACAGCTAATATATAGACATTCCTGCTAAAATTGCGTTGTGTGATGCTAAGGGTCCACTGATATAGCATGCAAGGTATTATTGGTCTATTATTCACTCACTCGATTGTAGATAGCTCAAATGTACCTCCAGTGTTTTTAGGCGAAAAATAGTTAAATATTGTACCTCGGCATGTCTGTAACTAGTTTACCTGAGCAAAAGCGTCCATCCCCAGTAAATCCTTCTTTGCAGGTGCAATTATAAAACCCAACAGTATTGGAGCAGTTTGCATTTTCGTCACAAACTTTATTGCTGCCTTTACATTCATCGATGTCTATTTGAGAATTAATCGAAGAAATCACTGAGACAAGGTGAAAACATTTCACAAAAGGCCAGGGCAAAGGTAGACCAGACGTTGTGTAAATTCTGTTCTTGGTATACTGACTTACCTTCCAAATTCATGTCGCAGTAAACCAACTTTGAGCTTCCGACATTAGTTGGATCCAACCAGTAATTTTTACTGATGCTGTCTTCACCTTCACTTGATTTTATCTCTTGGCACGATAGCGCTGGTAGTTCAGGAATAGATCCTAAGGGGGCTAAAATATAGACATGACTTCATTAATGGTTTAAGGGTAATAGAAGTTGCAAAACAGATTAGATCTGATAATATATTTGTCCGGGCAAGATAAACATGGAAGAACAATAATTAAGAGCTGAGAAGTTTAGCTAATATCAGTGTATGCATGGAAGGCGAATTTTGCTTTAAGACACTGACCCTATTTAATAACCAAGCGATCGGACACCAGCTCTCGGAAAGTAGTGAGCTGTTACTAGGAACTCACTGAGAAAGATTCGTATGTAAAATTAACTAAACTGGATACATACTTCTACCACTAATGCGTCCCATGTAAAAGCGTAAATCGTCTGGCTGAAAATTCTCGGGCCTTGCTTCCTTGGTTCGGGAGTTCAATTCACAGGACTTTTCCCCAATTACATAATTGTAGCTTTGACATATCGTTTCTCTTTCGCAGGTGGTATCGCACACGTAAGGAGCTGTTACTGGAACCTTTTTAAAGACGAATCCTTTGAGAGCCATACCAGCTACGCTAACTTCTGTCTTGCACGGCATTTTGGCAATAGCGAAGTCCATGAGATACAAAGAGGCCAGTAGGATTAGGAAGCTTGAATTCCTCGCCATTGCCACTGATGCTGAAATTGGAAAGTATATGTTATTTAGGAATATGCATTGAGCGTTTTTTTCAAGTCCATTGATTTAACACAAACCAAACCAAACAAGTAAACAAACAAAATGCCCCCAAAAATAGGCGGAAGGACAAACAAGCGGAAGAGAAATGAAGAAATCCATTCTGAATCGGTTGTAAGTCAACTACATGTCTATTAAATGTTACTACTGTCGGAGTCGCTACACCTTTGTTCATCCGCAGCTCTTTGATATTCGTAACTTTTACATCTCTTGCAGTTATTTGGGAATCATGAGTTGCGGCATTTTGGCGATACAAAATATATTGTGACCGTCCGATTTATGGAAAAGAAATAAAGAAATCCATTCTGAATAGGTTGTAAGTCAATTGCATGTCTACTAAATGTTACTACTGTCGGAGTCGCTACACCCTTGTTTATCCGCAGCTCTTTGATATTCGTAACTTTTATATCTCTTGCAGTTATTTGGGAATTATGAGTTGCGGCATTTTGGCGATACAAAACATATCGTGACCGTCCGATTTATGGAAAAGAAATAAAGAAATCCATTCTGAATCGGTTGTAAGTCAACTACATGTCTACTAAATGTTACTACTGTCGGAGTCGCTACACCTTTGTCCATCCGCCTCTTTGATATTCTTAACTTTTACATCTCTTGCAGTTATTTGGGAATTGTAAAGGTTGCTTCCTAGACAGAGTTGCTGCTAAGATGTTGATCGGCCTCAAGATTAAAAGGTGACAACGAAACGAGTGAGGTAAGCATTCATATATTTTTTTATAGACTTGATCCATTGTTATTTTGAGTTACAGCATTTTGGCGATGCAAAACATATCGTGACCGTTGATTTATAGGAGAGAATATTAATTCATGTCATGACAAGTTGATAAGAAAAAAAGTTCAAACAAGACTCTGTGCTTTCCTTAGGTTAATATTACTGTGCTTGCAATTTTTCGACACCCTTATTAAACAATGCTGCACAACAAAGATTGGGTTTGAACAAAATGATTCGATTCCTCCTCCATATCAATTCAAGAGAGGAGATGTGAGGTTGAATTTGCATTATGAATCCACAGATTGAAATGAGGCTTTTTAATTGAAAAAGGCCTGTTGAATTGCGGCAAAACTTTGGTCTCGATTTCTCTATTGTTCTTTAGAGGTGAAAAATTTTTTTTTTTGTAGGTTGTGTTGGTAAAAGATGGGTGCTCGCTCCTTTGAAGTCCTACATAAAATATTTTGCACCATATGTTGGAGCTCAAACGCTTGCAATTTTTTCTTTAATGTATCGACACAAGGATGAAGCACGTTCGATTTTACCGTTTTATTAGCACAGAGAACAACATTATTTCTCATCTTAATGATAACAGAGAATTTGACTTACCCCGAAAAGGAATAACGAATGATAAACACGCAATTATTCCTTAGAGCCCCCGCACTCACCAACGTCAGGGAGACTTGATTATCACTTTTCAGAAACTTTTAAGTCTAAAAGATATATAATTCAGCTCTGCTCAAAAACGAGTGCCCTCAAACATTTGAGAATGATGTGTTAACATACTTAAAAAAAGCTCTCCAGAAATTAGATCAGCACTTTGCGTCAAATCGTTACCAAGTAGCTTCGATTCTTAATGCACAGCCTTTGTGCATTGAAATTTAAGTCGGAGATAAGTCCAAAAAAAAAAAAATATATATATATATATTGTTTTTAAGTATAGTTCCGTGACCGAAAATTACGAATTTGATGCATTAAGGACATTCATTTTTTATCAGTTTAGAGAATGGAAATTAGCCGAACTTCCTTATGAGGTTTCTATTGTAGGCCGGAAAGACGCCCCGTGGACGCAAATTAAAACCGACTGAGAACACCTGTGGGGCTTGAAGATAATTAAGTCCTGAAAATTACCCTTCTGGAATCAGAAAATAAGTACGATCGGTCAAGCAATTTGAACTTCATTCTCTTACTATTTATTCCGAAAAAATATTACCCCAAAAATATTTAGAGAAAAGTTGTCTCGAATCATTTATCCAAAGTGAACCTAATGATTGCTTTGTTGCCGAAGCTTACATGAACGCTATCAATTTCTTCTTTTTTTTTATGTTGAAGTTAGTCTTAAATACTACTCCAGCCCTCTGAACATGCAGAATAAAACAAGTTCCCGCACGACTTTGTTACAATCTTTTTTCATTTGATCTCTTTGAAGGCACGGCGAAACCTCAAAACCGTTGAGGAAAGTAGAACTAAAGTAGAATTCGACCATAGTCGTGTTAAAAACAAATACACAAGCCTTTTATAGATGACAATCGAAGGTGATATTCGGAGCATCCTAACAGCTACTGTATTAAAAAAAAGTGTCCCTATGGAAATATCATTGTTTTTTTATGTTCTATGTGATAGATTTTGGTCATGTTTTGAAACTGAGATTTCGGAAAACGCTATTTCGCCGCCACAAATGACTGAAAACAAAAGTGCTGTGAAACAGCACTTCTAATCAGCGGGAAAAGAAAACGGTGCACCAAATAGGCCTTCCGCGGTGACTTTAAGTCAGATTTTAAACTGGCATATCGATGAATTCTCTCTCGCATCGATCCATTGAATAAAAACATTTAAACTTCATGGGAGAAAAGGTGTCCTACAACCTTAAAATATGAATGAAGAGAACTCCTGCATGTCTTTAAGTGAATTCCGTGTTATACAAGTTTGAAAAGAAACAAAGAAATGCTTGCTTTGATATCATTCAAAATCGAAGAAGGAAGAGTCTAAAACTGTTTAATTTAAGAAGCATGGTGTTATTAATATTTTTATAGTTCAACTGTGTTTGCAGCCACAGTAGACAATTTCAGTCATGTTATTGAAAGACATCTCCTCATTCCTGCTTAGTTCTCGAGATTAACTGTAATCGATTTCTTGTCGTGGTGGCTTGAAATACATTTTAAAATGTCATAACACACAGCAAGAATCTTGCTGTTATAACTGGCAATAATTCTAAAAACAGAGAAAACTCTTCTTTTTTCTTAACAATGATAGCTGGAATCGATCTCACACTGAAGGAATAATGAAAATATTAACACGAAGCAAGAAAGGATATTCTCTCTTGCACGAAATTTTCTTTATAACTCCTCGTCTTCAGCAGCGTTAGAAGACTCGATTATCATTTCTTATGGGTTGTTAAGCTAAGACATGTCGAACTTCCAGAGTTTTAGTCAGGTTTTTATAATGATAGGAAGGATCGGCCACAAAGTGAAATGACAATTGCAAAAAGACTAAGATGATTAAAAATCAATGTTTCAAAGTTTTTCTTAACATCCTATAATTCTATCAGCTTGCCAAAAAGCGGTGAAACTTGTTCTTAGCAAGAAATATGACTATGCATTGATGCAGATGCTCGTAAAAAGTTCAGCATACCGTAGCTATTCGGTTATAAGGCGCACTCGGCTATAAGACACCCCCAATTCGGCAACTTCATCATGGCATGTTTTCAAACTGAAAATATCGCTAAAATACTTAGTTATAAGGCGCACCGTTGTTTGGGAAGTAAAGACCAGTCAAGTTTATTGTAAATTTGTTCATAAATTTACAAAAAAACGAAAAAGTCGCGTATTGATTATAGTTTACTGTTAATTAACAAAAGCAGAATTGTCGCACACGCGACCACGCGCACAAACAAAAGCCTTGATTAAACAAGAATTAACATACCGCCGAGAATGCAGGTCTCAGTGCACAAAAAAGGCTGGATGGATGAAGAAGGTATTTATCTCTTCGCTTGTTTATTTTCGTTTTGTTTTGTGACGTATCAAATTACTGAGCACGTGCTCTCGAGCACGTATCATATCTATGCAAATTTGACTTCGCTCGTCTTTTCAGAACCACCATTATTTTATAAAAGTCAATGACCAACACTGTGTATCCTTTTATTTGCTTGAAATCGTACCAGTAACTGTGATAAAAAAAATTGTTTCGGGAAAATATTCGCCCATAAGACGCACCCAAACTTTGCCGGTAATTTTTAGTAGAAATTAGGAATTTCTTGAAAAAACCGGTGCGCCTTATAACTGAATAACTACTAATATATTAGAGTATAGGATTTTACTTTGCGTCAAACCCCACATAAAACACCCCATAATCGGTTACCATCCAGTAATTTGCCGCTTGTTTACGAAATGCAGAGGCCGAGGCCGAGACTTACATAACTAATAAAGATTTTGGTCTATTTACAAAGCATTTCACAGGTTAGAATATTGATGCAGTGAGTTCATTATTAATATCATCATTTTTTGTTTGGATGATAATGGCACACGATTGCCACAGAGTTTATAGAGAGAAATTTAAATTACTTTTTAAAAGACTCCTTGGTCAATATTTGTCGGTTTGCAGCTATGGATTCTGTCACAACAGTCATCCTAAAGAATGTTACTAATAAATAACTCCTTGTTCCTGTCTAGTGCTCGAGATTTAAAATACACCGTTTATTTCAGTCTCAAAATCGTAGAGTTTTTACAGTAAATTTTGTAGCTCTACTGCAGCGGGATGAGTCAGGCTTGTAATTTCGGCTTAACAAGTACTTTGGCTCTTTAAAATTGTCAGCAGCTGTAATTATTAAAAAAATTAAACGAAAAGTATAGGGGACCAAGTAGAGGAGTACAAAGAGAAAAGAATCACGTCCCAGGCAACCATTAGAGTGATAAAGGAGTGATACTCACTTTCAGTAGGCTGTTTAGTATACAATAATTATACTTCTAACTCCTGGCGTGATGCTCGGTTGGGGTCTTTGGGTATTTAGATCTCTAGTGTACTCTCCACGTAAGTACGAGGTATCTTCATATCACAAAAAGAGATATAACATTGTTTTCCTATTCCGCAGGTATTACGCACATATGTCGCAGGTCAAGAAATTTCTAAGAAGTTGACGAATTTGTGGAATAAAAGAACCCTTCTAGGCTTTTTCAGCTAATTCTGCTGTCCAAGAACTTCAAAAAAATTA